AGGTGCTTACAGGACAAGTGAGAAATATGATTCATGACCTTAAAATATCAAGTGAACAAAACACAAGCATACATCAAGAAATCACAGGGCAGATAAGTTCAAGATCTGGTAGGCCTAACTGCCAATTTACAGGAACACAAGAACCAGAGAAACGTTTTAAATGACACTGCAGGAAGGCAACCACAAAGTCTAGACTGCAGGAAAACGATCTGACCAATCAACTGGCTCCTAAACCAAACAAACAAAACATTTCAAGGAGGAAGGGGAGGAAGAAGAGTGGGAAAAGAGGCGAAATCTACAGATTAAAAAAAGTTACATGACAAATCAACCAATTGCTATGTAAGCCCCTTCTTTGGATCCTGAGCCAAAGAAACTGTTAACAAAAACAAGGTGTGCACAATCAAGGAAATTTCAATATTGAGTAGTTATTTGAAAATGTTAAAGAATTATTGGTTTTTTACAATTTTTTTCAGAATGATACTGTGGTTATGCTTCAAAAGAAAGAGTCCTTATCTTTCAGTTGGGATCTTGTAGAGATAAATGCAGAAATATCCACAGTTGAAATTATATGATGCATGTGTCAACATAATTGGATGAGAAAGTAGGTGGGGTATAAATAGAACAAGATTGGCCATTAATTGACAGTTTTTAAAGCTGGGCTATGGGTTTATTGAGGTTCATTATATTAGACGTTTACCTCTACATGTAATTCATATTTTCTATAATAAAAATTTTTTAAAAAGAGCTGTTAGAAGGCAGAGAAAAGGATGTTCAGTAAGAGGAGAAGTTTGAACTAAAAAAAAAAAAAGTTTATGAAAAAAAATAGGATCTGAGGGATTTGAGGTATTGCAGAGTTTAGGTGTAAGTGGAGGATATACCAGGATAAAAACCAAACCAAACCCGTTGCAGCTGAGTCGATTCTGACTCATAGTGACCTGACAGGACAGAGAACTGCCCCATGGGTTTCCAAGGAGTGGCTGGTAGATTTGAACTGCCGACCTTTTGGTTAGCAGCCTGAGCTCTTAACCACTGTGCCACCAGGGCTCCATGCCAGGATAGGTGTAATAAAAAAAAAAAAAAAAGTAGCTTTGGAGTCAGGATGACGTAGGGGAGAAAACATCACAATTGTAGCCTAATCCTAAACTGTTCAGGAGACATTGGACTCGAGATTTTCCAGGCACAAACACAGAGAAAAACAAGAGAGTTTTGCTTCTTTAAAGATGAACACATCAAAGAGTAAAATCTAGCTCTACTTGTCATGTTCCTTTATATACATAAATTTTTATATTTTGACATTATTAGAGTTTGCCAACTGCAAGCAAAATTTAAGCCTCTGCCACTGCTATAAAAATAATATTTTATCTAACTACCAATTTGTGTCTTCGAATAAATTTGTGAAAGTAACTTGGTTAGCATTTCCTTTCCGAACACAACCACTGAGTTCTGGACAGCGTACCAGGACGGCAAGAGGTGTTGCTGAGATGATTTACCACCCCCTGACTCACGAAACGCTTCACAGGTGTTTATCTGTTCCATTAATTGACTGCCTGATGACTCAGCCAGCATTTAGCACTATTAGTCATTATTCCATGAAGATTTCTCCAAATTGCTGCACAGCTTAGAGCAACTGCTCTCGGGGAAGCAGGAGTGATTTGTGAATTGGAACAACAACAAAAATATATACATATATATAAACGAAAAGACCTCAGACATTCAAGTTTTGTTAAGAGCACTATTCGCTGATAGCAGTAACTGCAGGGGCATCAGTTAAGGAGGCGGATGTCTCAGGGGAGGCTGATGCTCCCCGCCCATTCAGTGATGGCCTGATTAGGAGAGAGATGAGAGGGACATTATATAGAAGAGAGAATTTCACAATACGATACCTCTAGCAATTCCCTGTCTTTAACACATGGTTGGAGCCCTGACGGTGCAGTGGTTAAGAGATCGGCTGCCTTTGTGCAGTTCATTTAATCCACATCCCGGAGAAACGGATGCCTTCGCCACAATCAGACTCATCAGTATCGTGAAGACGGCATGACGCTATCGTCAGGTGTGACAAATGAACTCATTAAAGCTGTAGGCCAGTTTACATGAGGCCAAACGATCACATTGCAAACGAAAACACATTAATGTGGGCTAATATATTTTTGGTGGTGCTGCTAAATCCTCCAGCATTCGAAGCATTAAAAGAACGGGCCCATCATGTGTAGGGTTATGGTTCAAAGGAAGAATTAAGAATGCCTGAAAGGCTCTCCCAGGTCAGGCCTGTTAATATCACCTGTGATAGTTTCCTATTAGTATTGTTATGTGAAATCGCATTCAGAACACTGAGACTCCTTACCTGAAGGTAATGGCATGGCCTCAAGGAAGGCTTGATTTCCTGATGGACCAGAGGCTTATCCAAGTTAAGGGAACTCTTGCGATAAGCTTCTTTTGCCTGGCTTACTGTAAGAGTGGACCAGGAGCTCCTTTTCATGTACTTTGCATCCGGGGTCATAGATAAACCTTCACAGGCAGAACACTTGACGTCGTTATTACTTTTGGAAGTCTTCAGTGAAAGATCCCCAAAGGGGCCCTGGAGAGTTTCAGGGTAGCAGTGGGAGATGTGATCTACATGATGCCTATTAACCACACTGGGTGTTCGGTAGGTGCTATCACTGTCCAAATTGTCATCAGAACTCCACCAACTACTCATGCCAGATTTATGCTTGCTTTCAGGTTTCCGCTCCTTGCTTTTACTTCTTTTACTGTGTTTCGAATGGTGGCTGTGGTGGTGATCATCCACTCTACTGTCACCTTTGGTCCCATTGACGTTACTCTTGGAAGAGCCTTCTAAAGAATGAGACTTGGTGAAGAGCTTCTGGACAGAATGGACAAGGTGTCGTATTCTCCCTGGACTCTCACTGCGTTGTTCTGCAGCGGTTGAAGTCCTCTGGTATTGTAAAGTATGGAATCCATCCCTGTGGAGAGGGAGTTGTTTCTCAAACTGGTCCAAAAGATTGGCTGGAATTCGATTAATTTTAGTACTAGCGTGAGACATGGCACAATCGTCTCTTGTATCGTAATGCGAGCTATAGTGCATTCTGGGAAAAGTGCTACTAGACATATGATCGCCCATCATCATGGGCATCATCATACATTCGGAATGGATGGAGCTTCTGGGTGAACAACGATGGCGGTCCATGGGGCAGCTGTCAGTTGGGCTGAGCAAGTAGGATTGCCTTGTTTCCTGCCCATGGTGAATGTGGTCATGAGTATGATCACAATCTTCAGGGGGTGTTAAGCCACAAGTATGACCAGAACATAACTGTGGTTGATTTCGACTCCCGGATAACCCTTTCATATTCCTAGGAGCAGGGGAGTATCTTTCTTCATTGAAGTGCTGAGTCGGTGACCATGAGTACTGCTGGTCTGTTGACAAAACACAGAAATGTCATTTAATACTTTGTAGAAATAGTGATGCAAATCCTTGTGTGTTAAAAAAGTAAAATATTGACACCCAATACCTAAACTGTTTTTGTCTAATAGTCAGTGTTCGTTTTTTGTCTGGGGCATTCAAATGGACAATCATTTTTATACCTCATTCTTGGATAGCTCCAAAGAATGAGAATATTAACAAGGGTAAACTTTGATATTCCCAAATGATATTCTTTAACTAATAATATTTAATGTCCAGTAAATTCATCAGGTCTTTTGGCAGCAATTTTATGGTATGAAAATAAATAAAAAACACTTTTTGATTAAAAAAAAACACTAGTTATATTTCAATTAGATTTCAGTCCTATGGTTCAGTTTAAGAAATTTGAAGAATGACAACTGATATTTAATTAGTAATATTGTCTGGTAAGCTAATATATTACACACTAATGTATTAATAATGAAATACCATATTTTATGCAGATAACATGCATGTTCTACTTTTTTGCCAACCATGCAACCCCCTTGCTTAATATTTCCCTATGGCGCTATGCGCGTTACATTGTTATGTGTGTGTGGACATGTTATTTACGTGAGCACATTATTTGTAAAACAAAACAAAACAAAACAAACGAACGGTAGTTTGTTTAAATCCACATTCTCAACGTGCAGGTAAGGGAACTGAAGTGGCTTTTTCAAGGCCATGTTTCTGTATCAAAATGAGGACTAAACCCAGGCAGGTATCCTGACTTTCTAGTTCAGATTTTTTTTTTCAACTACACAATTTTATTCAGTTAAAAAAAAAAAAGGTTTGATTATGGTAGATGCTATATGGTTGCTGTTGGGTGCCATCAAGTCAATTTTGACTCACAGTGATCTCATGTGACAGAGTAGAACTGTCCCTTAGGGTTTTCTAGGCTGTAATCTTTACACAGAGCAGGTTGCCCGGTCTTTCTCCCATGGAGCTGCTGGGTGGGTTTGAACTGCCAACCTTTTGGTTAGCAGCTGAGCACATAACTGTTGTGCCACCAGGGCTCCTTAGATGCTATATCATCCACAGATAATCAAATAATTAAGAATTGACCTTTCAGCAGATGTGATGCTTGCTGTTTCTGGCTATTGAGCCCTTTCCTAGATTCCTTGTGAGGGAGGCAGTTGAGTATAATGATTAAAATGGAGGCCTCTGAAAACAGAGCACTTGTGTTAGAATCTTAGCTTTGCCGTGGCTCAGTGTGTGAGCCTAGGCAAGTTACTCAGCCTCTCTCAGCTTCGATTTCCTCAACTGTGTGACAAGGACATGAGACAGAGGGAAAGCAACGGAGTTCCGGGCATAAGGAAAACTCTCAATATTTACCAGCTGTGTTATTATAATTGTTTTAAATTCTCTTGGGTCTGTATTTATAAAGTTTGGGTTTATTAAATTTAAGTGATTGGATTCCAGGATTCACGAGAGAAGCCCCTGGCTTCACCTCTGATTCCTGCCGTTCAAGTGTTTCGGTTTCAGTCCTAAATTAGATCTTGCTTCTGACTAGTAGCCAAACAGATGCAGGAAATACCAACTCGGGAAGCTGATTCCAATAAGGGGACAGGTGGGACAGAAACCTGCAAGGCGGAATACCAAGGCAATAGCCCATGAGGTTGAGACTAGAGCGGGTTCCATGGTCCTCATCCCCGACCTCATTCCCACTCGAACTTCACAAGGTGAGACATTCTATCCCTGAAAGACACCTCTGCTTGGGGAAAGCAAAGACAAGTTGGTCCCCTGACAGGGTCCCCTCTCTTTCTCTTCTATCCCTTATATTTCCTCTACTCCCACCTCTTTCCCTCCCTCCCTACCTCATCACCCACTTTCCTTAACAGGCTCCTGCTGTTAGCTGAGTGACCAACTTTCTATGACTTGCAGTGGAAGACTAAGGCTGTGGTTGTTGACTCATAGCAACCCTATAGGACAGAGGGGTTTTCAAGGCTGTCATCTTTATGGAAGCAGACGGCCACATCTTTCTCCCACGGAGTGGCTGGTGGCTTCAAACCGCCAATTTTTTGGTCAACAGCTGAGCGCTTTCACCACTGTGGCACCAGGGGTCTTTGTTATTGACATTGTATCCTTTTTTATGCAACTGAGAAACGAAGTGGTAAGCCACTTTCCTCTCTGTGTCTTTACCTGGGGATATCACAAAGAATCCTGGGGTTAATCACACTTAGAACAGATGAGCACTTAGGCAGAGAGCCACCATCTGATCCCTCATAGGGGTGTACAAATGAACGCCTCGGGCAACCGTGAATGGGAAAGAAAGCTAAGAGACACCAGGCTTTCCCCCATTATTTCTAACCCCAACTCTCTAGGTAATTAATGCAAGGGAAACATCATCACCTGCCAGGAACATTCTCCAGATGTCTAGTCCAAGGTACCTGGAGCTTAAAAACCCATGGCCATCGAGTCAATTCCGACTCATAGCAACCCTATAGACAGAGTAGAACTGCCCCATAGGGTTTCCAAGGAGAGGCTGGTGGATTCAAACTACTGACCTTTTGGATAGCAATCAAGCTCTTAACTACTGCACCACCAAAGAGCCTATGTAGCTTTAAATGTCCTGTTTTTCAGGCTCCAGGACTCTCAGTTGTCTAGGTCATATCAGATATCCAAATGCATTATAAGGAAAGGACATAATTTCACTGATCCCTTAGAAGTTAGAGGCAAGACTTATCACACTTAAGAGTGATTGATGGTAGAAGAGAATGTAAATATTTTTTGAGGAATTCCAACGGACTCAGAGAAAGTTTTGGGGTTGTTTCCCATGCTAAGGGCAGCAGACACATCTCTCCTGCTTATTCTCAGAATAAACAGTGTCCAATTCAAGGATAAACAGGTCCTTTATTTACAAAGAGAGCTTTACTTTATTATATTTTAAGGTGCTTACACTCTCTCACGGAGTGTCTACCCTATAATAGCTACTCAGTGCCTTTCTTTCTCAACAGCCAAATTATAACTAGAGCACTTTCATACATTAGGAGGGGATATTTAGATTATATAATATTTTAATGTAATTAAAAGCAAGTTTTCAAAGGAAATTCAATATTAAGCTGATAAATATCACAACTATGTTCTGTAATCTAGACTTCACAGCAGCATAAAGTTGTCATCCTATTCTCTTTTGCTTTATTTTTCCACTAATATGTAATTTAATACAATTCTAATCTTCCTTCATATTAAAAAGCAAGCCCATTATTGTTCCACTCATATCTTCTGTTTCTATTGTTTAGCCTAGGAGCTATATTATGAATGTGGCTGCATAAAAGAACAGTATAAGAGAGAAAAATTTAACTGAAAGGACTTAAATTTGATTATGCAACATGATCATGCATTCTTATTTTTACCATACAGGACTGCATTCCCTGAAGCATACTTGGAAACTTATACCTTACCTCTTAAAAATAATATTACCATCACAACAAACAAGATAACAGTGTAACAGTGTACTAAATAATGGCAATACTAACAAGGATAGTAAGGACTTGGACTATAGTGTTTTTGTTTTTTAATAAGTCTACATAATATGCAATAAATACTTAAAAAAACCAAATGCATTACTAACTCATAGCAACCCTATAGGACAGAATGGAAGTGCCCCATAGGGTTTCCAGGAAGCAGCTGGTGGATTTGAACTGCTGAGCTTTGAGGTAGCAGCCAAGCTCTTAACCACTGCGCCACCAGGGCTCTGATAAATACTTAGGGGCTGGTAATTTCTCTTTGTGCAAAATGAAGTAAGAAGCATGAAATGTGGGAAGCATCTTAGCTTTCTAATTTCCAGCTATTCACTACACCATTTTTGTTAGTAAGCAAGAAAAAACAACAATTAAAGTTAATATTTATTAACACATGACTGTCTCCCCAAACTCAAACTAGAACGTAAATGCACATTTTACTGTTGGAGTTCATGATACTGTTGGTCAACTCCTTTTAAAAAGTAAATTTTTTAAGGGTAGAAGTAAAAACTTAAGAAAAAGAGCTATCCTTTACGGAGTGCTTACTGTGTGCCAGGCAGTGCCAGATGCTTTACCTGGATGGTCTCCTTTCATCAATTCAGGCTGAGGGAAACTGAGGGTAGAAGGAGCGTGTAGGGCATGTTCCCAAACTCTCTCTCTCTCTGTCTCTGTCTGTCTCACACACACACACACACACACACACAGGCACACACGCACATGCACGCATGCACTCACACACCCACACACACAGTAGAAGAGCTGGATTTAAACCTAGCCGTCCAGTCACAGATTGCCTGTTGCTAACACTAACCAGTTGCCTTTGAGCCGATTCCTCTTTATGGGGATCCCATGTATGTCAAGGAGCCCTGGTGGTGCAGTGGATAAGAGCGCGGCTGCTAACTAAAAGGTCAGCAGTTCAAATCCACCAGCTGCTCCTTGGAAACCCCATGGGCAGTTCTACTCTGTCCTGTAGGGTCGCTATGAGTCAGTCAGTTTTTTGGTTTATGTATGTCAGAGTAGAACTGCTCCAAAGAGTTTTTAATGGCTGTTTTTTGGAAGTAGAACACCAGGCCTTTCTTCCAAGGTGCCCCTGGGTGGACTAGAACAGCCAACCTTTCAGTTAGCAGCCGAGCTCATTAACTGCTCGCGTGGCCCAGGGGCTGGTAACATCGCTAACATTACCAAAACCAAAACCAAACCTGTTGCCGCGGAGTCAGTTCTGACTCCGGAGACCCCTTCTGTCACAGAGTAGAACTGCTCCATTGGGTTTTCTTGGCTTTAATCTTTACAGAAGCAGATCACCAGGCCTTTCTTTCCTGGTACCACTGGGTAGGTGTAAACCACCAACCTTTGGTGAGTAGACAAGCACAAACCTTCTGCTGACACTAGGTGTACTTAAAAAAAAAAGGAGTGATTTTATTTGTACACAGTAGCTGATGGTGGAGAAGGGTGGTGTTTGGGGGTTCCATCTTCCCTTTCTGGTTAAACCAAGCTAATTGTTCAATAGGAAG